ATAATAAAAAAATATTTATTAAAATTAATTAAGAAATAAAATTATTTCTCAATTAATATATTCATGTTTAATGTAGTTATATGTTATAAGTTAGAAAAATTATTATAATCTAACACATATAAGTCGCACAAGTAACTAGTATCATACTAAAATAATATATATATATATATATATAAAGTATTTAAATTTTCAACTACTTTTTCTCATTCATTTTAAATTTTACGAAAAAAATTTAATAAGCACACGTGTAATACACGGACGTTGTACTAGTTAATTATTAATATATCAATATTATTTGTCCAAACCTAATTACGAAGCATGATTCCTCGCCAAGTAGGATTCCGAAACACCAGAAGCAGCCACGTGGGTTCAACGCATTCGGAAATTATATATAGGGAGGATGTCGGCCCTCATTCCAACCCCCTCACAACTTGTTTAAACCCTAGCAATTTTCACCTCGTACATCTAGCATTTTATTCATAGGTATTTTTGTTTATATAGTTTAAGATATCTCACAATTATTTTGTATGTATCTTATAGTAAATTTAAGATAATTCATTTTACATATCAAGTTGTGATTGAGCGAAGTTCGAACTATATAATGCAATTGTCGTCTTGTCAGGCTCTAATGAATAGAGCAATCGATGTGTTGTGTTTGAAAATAGTTAACATAAACGAACAAGAAGATTTACTTGTTTATCAGGTGAGCATGTTGGCAAGCATCTTTGCTTAGTGTTAGCTTATTGTATTTTAATTAAAGTATTACATAACTCATTCACAATATGAAAATAATAAAATTTCAATGAAAATATATTTGACTGACAATTCGAATTATATTCTAACGTTATCGCTCCTTCCAACAGTTTCCAACGAATCATTCAACGAATATATTATGCTGGAATTATTATTTTTTTTATGCTGGACTTTGGTTATTCTATTTTTTCTAACGGTTTAAATATGGTTGAAAAAAAAAATTCAAGAAAATTTGAATATTTAAAAAAAATTTCAATTTAAAAATTAAAGTGAAATCAGTGCCTTTGAAATCATCAAATTCCAACTAAAATTTTCACGTGAAATTTAATGGAATAATTTTGTATTGTTGAATCCAATAAAATTTTTATTATTAAAATATTTTATCATTGGACATGATAATTA